CCAGATTTTGCCCATGGGTCACCAGTTAAATATTCCTGCTCTACACTGACCTTACACCAATAGATGAACTTTTATTTCATAACTCACGATGCAAACAATAATGCAAACTTAATACGTTCGTCTAGTAAGCATTTGAAAAAAAATGATCTTCCCTTTTTTTTTCTTCTTAAATTTTGGTTTTGAAAAACCACATCTTTATAATTTTCAGTAACTATCCTTAGAAACTAGAAGCAGAAGAAATTTAGTCGGTCTAATTTACTGATTTAAGAAAATAAACTATAGCACACTGGGTATAACCATGGGTGCTCCGTCTCCCGCAGCAAATATCTTTAGGTGTAGATGCTAACTGTTCCCTTAGCAAATTGATTTTACAAACGGCGTTCTCTTCCTCTCATGCGTCCATCCTTGCCGGATCCACAACGAATTCCTCGTTCACACATTCTTGCACATGTTATTTCACCTAATCTCGTGTCTTCTATCAACATTCTTTCATATATTCAGTTTTTATAAACATCCATAGATTTGAACCCATAGATCATAAACAGAGTAGACAGGTACGTGTGCTCTTTTTAGATGACGTCACTCCTCTCTAATTAAGAAATTCCTCAATAATTAAATATCCTAATCTGGAATCCTTAGTGTTAACAACTAGTCTCACGGAGAATTTAAAACGCCTAATCAATGACGATGAGCTGTATATATTATCTTGGTCAGGCACCAAAATGTTTCTGAGTACTCAAATATGCTGCATTTCTATTTTGCTGCTTGTTAATACAACTGTACTGACCTTCTCTCCCAGGATATTTCCACATCACAATGCCCCAACAAACAAAAACAGACAATTGTTTTTAATCATCACAAAACAATAAAACTATTACCTGATATTCTGATTAAGTTCAACTAAGATTTTAAATATCAACGATTAGTCATTACAAATTTTAGAAAACGTTTTTACAATAAAAATTGAAATGAAATAATAAAACTCTGAGCGTGGAATTTATGTTTCAACAAAAGCTTAAAATCAACAAAATTTCCAGTTAACATTTAATTTACAAGAATTACAAATGAATGAATTTGATTACATAAATCATGTTCTTTACAGAAACAATCAATCAGGTGCAGTCTCCACAATAAAGGTATGCTGCAACGAATCTCCAACACTCTTATCTCTTATCCTGGTTGTACACCTCTCAGACTGCTATTCGTCCATCTCTCAACATTGTCCTCCCACCTTAATGCTTCTACATAAAAAAATTAATCCCCTGAACTGTGACTTAGAAGTTTAATGAAAGAGCAGGAAGGAAACAATTTACACATCTATTACTATTACTATAACAATACTGTTAAGGGGACTATTGTCTTGACATCGACCTGGCTGCCGCGAGATACGAAGATAAGTGATATTGTGCGTTTGTGTAGTATTGTCTAATCTATGTATGTGCCGAAGAAGGCTCTATAGCCACAAGGTTCTCGTTTTGTTAGTGTTATACTGTGAAGCTCGCTGATATACTTTTCACTCGGTTTCATAGTTTCCATGTTATTATTTATGGATCATTAGTAATTTTATTCCTAGTACAATTAGTATCACCATCATTGATGATATTGTTTTTACTATTTCCACTACTACGATGATTATTACTCCCGTTTTATTATTACTATTATTATTTTCATTCCTTTATTAATTTTTTTCATTCCACACCTTTTCCTTTTTCTACATTTTAGAGTTATTCAATGACCCCTTTTGGCCAGGATAATCTGCCCCACTGTCATTATGGTTTATGTCAAGAATTGTGCCAGCCAAAATGTCTTGTTTGTTTTGTATCTGTACATTTTGACCTCTGCCCCTTTTGTTAAGCTTCTTGGTTACAGTTCAGTGGATTAATTTCTTGGTTTTTGCTCAACATGCTTACTCGTTTTCCTACATTAAAATATTCTAAAGTACAAGCTGACATAAAATCATTAAAAGATCAAAGTTAAAGTCGAAAGGATCAACTTCACTGCATTACGTTTTATCCCATATGGCTTGGTCTCTCCCTCCCCCCCATGGCTAGCCGCCTGCTAAGAGTGTCGCACAAAGCACAAACTCTGTAGCTCCAGTCACCAGGAATCTCTGTAAAAATTGCAGTAGTGAACCGAACCCATGACCTTCAGAAAATGGCTTGACCACTTCGCCACAGAGACCCCAATCAAGTTGCATTTTCCCCCCAATAAAATGATTAAAACATGTTCAAGCCCTATGTATTCAACTTCAATTAAAACAATGCTTAACTTTGTACTAATAGGGCCTTTATAGAAAGCAAAGATCAGTAACACTTCAGCATAAGAAGGGGATACAGAAGTGCTAAACTTAAACTGGTGAAGGACCCATCTACCTTTGACTGCAGTCATCACAGAAAGAGGTAATCAGCTGAAAGCCTGGCAAACGTAGACAAAATCAAGGCTTCCTTCGAAGTCGGAGTGCAATCTGCCTGACAGGCAAGGAACTATTGGTCTAGAAACAAATAAGCCAGATCAGTAATACTGGTGAGCATACAACACTCAAATCCTGGAAAAAAGCGAATTCTCCCACAGTGGCTGAATAACCAGGACTTTCCAGAGTTTACAGCTGGTGAATGTGAATACCATATGAATTAAGCTGTAAGGGTGCAGTACTGCAGAGTGTTGGTTCCTTGCCTCTCAGGCAGATGCCCTCCAGCTTCAAAGAAAAAACTTCTAATTGGTCACCTCTTATGACATGCTTGCCACAACACCCAGTACATTCCTATAAGCGCCACAACACCATCCTCAGCAACCACCCTTCTAAAACCAGCTGGTGCCAGTGGCAGTCTGACCTTACGTCAGTCTTGCTTTTACTCTAATGTCAACAGTCAGACTTCCTAGACCTCATTATCAGGCTGTGATATTATTTGTCATGCAGGGCTTGCAGTCTTTTCGTTCCATTCCATTCTTAACTGTGCATACTCTCTGATATCACAGATAAAATCCAGTCCAGCACCTTTGGTCTCTCTTAACAACATTCATCTTAGGATTTTTTTTTGAACTTTCTCACTACGTCATTCCCTGTATTTCCCATTTTAGTGCCTGTTTGGTGATCCTCTGCTTGTTTCTTCTCAGGATGTGTCCAGTACAGCACCATCCTCTTTGTCTTTTAACTGTGGTTACCCAGACATTTCTGTTACTACTTCACTCCTCTTGAATGGCATCCTTTCCTGCAAGTTTTTTTTTACAGGATGTGGGAGCCAGCCTCATACCCAACCCTCCTCCTCTTGTCATCCGGGGCTGGGACCAGCAAGGGTGGAGGTGCATCACTCCACACTGCCCCATGATCTTTAGAATGATTATTCAGTTGCTCAATCACACTCTCATGTACTCTCAGGGCCTTGACCACATAAACTCTGTCATGCATTAATCTCCCATCATGTGTTGCAGAAAAAGCCATGAATTCCAATGAACACATCATAATCTTTCGATTACCACTGTACATTCTTCAGCATAAGTCACAATTTTATTACCCATGTTATTAAAAAAAATTATTGTTTATAAACTCATTAAAAAAATATATATATATACACATCTAAAACAGTCGACCATGACAAAGAATTTACATATAAACATAAAATCAACATAAGAGGAAGTCAATAAAACATGCTTTCATTCTCACAGCTTGTAAAAGAATTCTGATGCAGCTGAGGTCAACGTCACCTAGGGGGGAAATAGAACCAAGATAGTAATTTACACATATGTTTTCTTTCAAGTCAATCAATGAGAAACAATAAAAAATTTATTGCATACAGATTCAATTGATTAATTAGTAATCATGGAAATGTAATACCTGAAAAAGGCTGCAGAAGAGATACAAACATAAGAGGAAAAAGTCAGCACAGAACCAATCCTAAAATGCATATAAAGACAACAAATAAAATGGTTTATCCACTTGGTGAGAATGCCTTGTGGCACCATACAAGGCAAGGCAATAACACACAAAAAAAAGCAGACGGATGGAGAACAAAAACAAGCCAGAATGATATCTTTGAAAAAAAAAAAAATTGTCTATGGTCAAGATGGCCAAAACAGCAACAACTAGGATTTGGTATTGTCTCGGACACCCAAAATAGTATACAAAGAAGTTAGTTGCTTATCCTTTACAGGACGTTGCAGAACCAAGGCCCTCCTTGTCTGTTGTGGCCTTTCTAGGCACATTTTACGTTCAGTAGTTTGTTACTGCTTTCTTAACGGTCAGCATTCTGTAACACTGTTGAAACCAACGCAAGACAAACCGTCCGCAGCTGGGTTGGAACACGGCCACCCCGGCATTACAAAGCGCGTTTGCACAAATACTGAGCCACAAATACTGACACACGAAGAAGTGGTAGCTAAAAAAAAAATTTCATTGATAGATGACTGCGGCTCATATCACCATCCTCCTCGTGTGATTTCCAGGGCCCCATTGTGGGGAAGGCAAGAATAGACCCACTGCCTCCCCAACAGGCATGTCGTAAGAGTCAACTAACTGGGGGGCTTCCTTCGAAGTTGAGTACATCGGCCCGAGCGGCAAGGAACAACCAACTGCACACAAAACTCCAGCCCTGGCACAAAGCCAAAATGTGGACGAACAACCAGGACCTTCTGCCGGAGCTTACAGCTAGTAAACAAAGAAGAAACCACTGTCTGCATGCAATGAAGTCCTTTTCTAATCCTAAAACTGAAGAATCAAACCATGGTAAAGTCGAAGAATGCATTGTGAAATGCTTTCACTAACCTACAAGTCACATAACAGCATGTTTATGCAGCCCTTAAACTGTTATCACTGCCTATAGTTTGCCCTTTTTTAGGGTGGTACAAAGGAGGAAGGGGGTCCCTCTTTAGCTTTGCATAGCTAGTGCAGTCACCATAAACACTGCAAGTTAGGATGTTTTACACCCTCCCCCCCCTCCAACAGAAACACAAACTATGTTACCAAGGATTCAAACCCAAGATCTCAAAAACTAGCAACACTTACCTTAATATTCACATTCAAAGTCGCCCTGCTCAGGCTCTGACTGACCCAACATCAATTCACCAAAGTAAGCGGTCAAAGTCTTCAGCTTTTTGTTCAGATAGTTCTCATCCACCTCCACTTTCTGACTAGCCCCAGCTAAGGATGCCACCTGATGACAAGAAAGAAAAAAAAAAAACAACTTGAGAAATGTCCATAGATTCCACACTAGACATTGAAACAAATGTCTAATGCTTTCTTTCTGTTTTACTTGTGACTTACTCATATTTTGCTCCTTGAATGAATGGGCCAGGAATCCACAGAAATTACCAGAAATAAATTTTTGATCCTTAAAAAAAGAACTATATTACACAGGTCATCAACAAATGTTTTTGAAAATATAATTATCTACATTTTAACGTTGTTGCTCAGCATTAGAGAAAGTTGGAACAAGAGCATGCATGGAACATATTGAAAGAGAGAGAATGAAGTGGTTTGGCCATTTAGTAAGAATGCAACCGGATCAGTTTGCCTATAAAGCCTTTTACAGTAGAACATAGGGAAGAAAGACCAGAGAAAGACCCAGGAAAAAATGGATAGATGGAGTAGCTGAATACGGCCAGAAGATCCAGAAAACTGTCACTCAAATCACGCGAGAGGCACAAAACAAATATTTTAAACCACAACACTGGGCTACAACCCGGTAAAAGTGAAGAAGACAAAAGACAGATAGATAGAACGTTGTTGCTTCTCACTGTCCTGTACCTGCACCTTTGATGGGTCCAAAAATATGTTGTCAGACTTGATCCAAAATGTGTAATAAGGTTTGATCTCTTTTAGTTGTGCTCCAAGTTTCAGAGCCATATAAAACAACTGGTGAAGTATTTTATTTATTCTGATCTTCATGTTAGGAGATAAACTTTGACCTTAGCAGATGTGGTAGGGCATAGTTTACTTTATTTCCAAACTGCTTTCTAGACTGCCTTTCTTCTCTTGGTATGTTGGAGCAGTTGAAGTGTTTCACCAAGAAACTTCAAGCGATATCAATGTCATCTGCATAACCAGGTATACTTGTAGTTTCTCTTTATTAGAATCTTTCTTCACTTTCCTCATAGCTAGTCATGCTTCTTATTACACTCGTTCATGTACCTAGGTGCTCTCGTCAATTGGAGGTGACAGAGTCAATTACCAGGATGTAACTATAGCTTTCGATTCTTTTGCTGTCTAGTGTGTCCTATATTTTTACTTCTTTCGATGAGTGCTCAATACACGTCAATTTGCTTTATTATATGTAACGCATTCCCTGTGTGGGTTCTAGGGTTCCATTGTGGGGAAAACAAGAACAGACCCACTTCTGCTTAAATTGTGTCACTCTTTCTAAACAGTATGTGACATAAATTACTGAAGATTTTTAGAACAATATTTAATCAAAGTTAAGCATTTAAAACATGTGCAAGACTTCAGTAGCAATTATTAATGGTCTCCAGACCAGCCTGTGTCAATGTAACATCTGAAGAAGTTTGTTATGTTCAAGAGAGAGACCCAGATTCAAATCTTTGGTAAGGTCACAGATTTTTGCATAGGGTCAAAAATCAAATCCTAACCTGCACAACTCATGGTGACAGTACTTGACATGTGGCCCTAAATCCTCATGGTCAAAAACCTCTGACACCCCTACTCTAACCAACAAGCTTGTCGTGGGAGTCAACTAAGTGGGGGTTTCCTTAGGTCAAAAGTGCATCTGCAGGAGGGGCAAGGAACTAACAGTCTGCTTACATATAAACCAGATGTGCACACAACACTCAGATCCTGAATAAAACTAAAGTCCAGAAGTGGGCGAACAACCAAAACTTACCGCCGGAGTTTATAGCAGGTGAACGTGACAAAGAAAAAGAAAATACTTAACACGCCATATGCTGATTGACAGACACATACAAGAAAGGAATTACAATAAAGAGATGCTTTGTGAAGAAAGTTGCACCTCATATAATCACCAATTATTCAATTTATTTCTGACACAAACAGTAATTTCAAATGTGCCAGGTAATGTTGAAAGTGGACAGATGTGACAAGGGGATGGCAGCCATAAATATAATCTGGTCTTCATATTAAAAAAATATAACACACCACTGGTATGATGGTTTGTGCTGTATAAAATAAAACATACCTGTTCGGCATCAGCGTTGCGAGGCAATAAGAATGCAATGTTTTGGGTAATCTTCCTTGTAAGTTCCATTAATTCTGAAGTGTGCTGATTAAGGAGAAATCTCAGCAACAAAAAATCAATCCTCAGTTATTCCAAAAGGTATTATTTGCATATACACACACACACGCAGTAGTGCCTCGGAATTAGAACGTAATCCAAGGCGAAGCAGCGTTCGAATTCCAAGGCAATTTTTCCTACTAAAAATAATTAAAACTAAACTAATCGGACCCAGGGTATTTAAATAAATTTTTAAGTACAGTACACTGTTCAGGTAGTAACGTATGATCATCATATCTGAACATAACATAAATAAATAAATAAAAAAGATATCAAAACATTTATTTACCGTACCTTGATCAAAATGGAGACACAGCACATAGAAGTAGGAGGAAGGGGGATTTAGAGAGATTACTGTTCATCATTTGCAGTGGGTTTCAGGTCACTAGTTTTTGTTGACGGGCAGCATTCCTACGTGCATTGGTGTTGCTGACCATTTTTTTATTTTCAAAAATGTTCAATAATGTTATCATTGAATAAGTTAACAGCCTTATCAGGGTGCCACTTGTAAACAACTTCTTGTGTTTTTGAACACATGATCAAAAGATCTTGGACTTCAGCAGTGCAAATTCTTCACCCAAGCCACTGGAAAAACATAAGAACAAATACAGAAAATCAACTACACTGGGCCACAACCTGGTTTCAGTGAGACCATAAAAGAAGAACAGGATGTCAGCGATTTGCATTAAAATATCACTCCTCGAGTTAATGCTCGCTGGCGGAGGAAGGCATCATAAAATAAAACAAATTCTGCCTGTGTGTAATTCCACTGCAGTATGTGTAACACAGGTCTCTACCGCCCTTCATTCTCCAACTGCAAGATAATTAATTTAATACTTATCAACCTAATTTATCTATGTGAACTGTATCAGCAGACAATAGATCAAGTATTTTGGCCATGTCACAAGATTAGCATCAAGACAGGGCACCACCGAGAGCAATGAATGCTATACGGATACAACGGAAACAGAGCCAGAGATAGAACACACAGAAGATACTGAAAATTACTATATATGAAGTAACCCAGAAGGTACATTCCAGAGATGTCTTCCTCCCCTAAAGCATTCCAGAAGTAGAGAAAAGAAAGAAGAAGATGATTTACCCATCTACAGAAATAAGCAAATGTCAACAACTATCAAACACAATTACTGCAGTGCTACAATTGGCAATACTAGATACGTCAGCAGATGTGAAATCTAATAACATCTAACTTTGGATTTTTCTTAACCTCCTGGCCTAAATAGAGCAAGTTCAACAGTTGTCTGAATTCCCCTCAAGTCAAGTTTTTTCCTACTTTAGCACAAATATTTTAAACTTGAGCGAATAACAACTATATAATGTTAGACTACAGCAAAACCATACACCCAGTTAATTCCACAATATACATAAATTACGAAATGTTTTAAAAAAAAAGATATGCATTGAAACCTGCCATGTTGTCTAGGTCATAGACATCACAATCCAAATACTGAGGGCCGCCCCAAGGTGGGCTCAAGAAGACCACATCGGCTTTCAGAATTTGAGCCAGCTGAAACAAAAAAGAAAAAATTAAATACAACACTACACTGAAATTAACATTTCCTGTAGTGCATTGTTGCTGGAGGCACTGTGTTTATCAGCTGTAAACTTCACAGGTTGTTTATCCACTTCTGGACTTTAGTTTTGCTCCAGAACTTCCGTTTTGGGTGCGCATCCATTTGACCGATTTGGCTTTTTTGTATGCATATTGTTGGTTCCTTGCCTCTCAGGCAGATTCATTCTGACCTCGAAGGAAACACCATAATTAGTTGACTTTTGCAGCATGGGGCGGTGTAATGATGTTATAAATAGGGATAATGTCAGGGGATGATTGGCATAATTGGGGAAGTCTCTGAGAGCATGGGTTTCACGGAGATATGGTGAAACGACAGGAAAGAGTGAGTCACGTGTGAATGGTGAGATCTGGGGGATTGAGAATCAGGCGGGGATTCGGTGACTGGGCCCCAGGGAGAAAGGATGTGAAATGAAGCTGTGAAGATGAATGGAGAATGACGAGAGCATGTGGATCTGAATCGGCGAGGAATGAATGATCGTGAAGGCCAGCTGTTATGGTACCCTGTTTGATTGTTGAAGCCAGCCGTGAATATGTCAACGTCTATTGTCCGAATGATGTAAGTGGATTCTCCTGTGATTCATGTATTGTGCTACAGTGATAATAAACTCGTGAAATGTGCCGCTGGTGTCAACCGTTGTTAGAGGTCGTGTGACCGTGAAGAAAGATCATGTCTGCTGTGATTGAGTTGTGACCCTCTAGACATCAGAGCCAGTGTTAACTCTGCACCAGAGATAGCCAGTGTGGAGGAGACACAAGTGCAGTCATTACAGGCGGGAAATGGGGGAGGGGCAGTGGGTCCCACCCCGCAACGAGGTCCCAGTAACAACACAGGGATCTGATTAAATCTAAAGGTCTTTTCTGTCCTCTATCCTCCTACAAGAGAAATAATAAAATATCTATCATCTTTACATTAAAAAAGAAGAGCTAGGTCTGAAGCCAGTCGCATAGTTTATTCAAGAGCAACAGATTAAATGGTTTGGCTATATGATGATAATGCCCTAGTATAATACATTGAAAGACATAAGAATCCCTCAATTCTCTCCTGTTATAATGTGATATTTCAAAGAAACTGACGTGAATCGTTTCAGAACCAGCTGCAGACACATGTAAGTGTAACAAACTCACATGTTGAAAAAAATGGAGGCAGGTGTGCACTGTGCAAAGGTGAGCAGCCCTTCAGAGATTTGTTGTAGTTAGCAGCCTTTGAATATTATCTCTAGGTTATTCAGGTATGTTTGGAAAATTAACAAGCAGACAGATTGACTGGTTCTGTATCACTTGGCAATAAATTGATGCATGACAACATTGTTTATTGCTACTGTTCAAGGGGTTTTTAAGGTCATTACCAGCCCTGAAAGTTACTGTCATGATCTAGCTAAACAACCTGAATTTTACAGTCAGTAAAAAGGGTGATAATGCAAACTGAATTACATTTATAGGTTACATCACTCTTCTGTTAGATAAATAATATCGGGTAATTGAGAGGTGACAGCAAACGAAAGGGAAGACTGACAAGAGGTGCTTGAGGGCATATGACCTAGTAGAGTCATAAATGACAAAAGAAGATAATTTACCTGTAAGTAGTCTCCATGAATAAACTCAATTCGATCTGCAACCCCATAAACCTCTGCATTGTTTCTAGCAAGTTCCAGTTTTGATGCATCAATGTCGATGGCAATCACTGGAAATAAGAACAAATATCATTACTTCGGTGAGGAATGTGTAGTATTTATTTTTCTTCTTCTTGCTAGAAGTACAAGTCCACGTGAAAAAAATCCCAGCCCTTACCGGCGATTAAACCCGGAACCTCCTGCACTCCAGGCGGACACCCTACCTCGAGACCACGCAGCCCCCTGCACGAAAAAATTGACAGTACACAAGATATAAGGCTGTGGACACACAAACCAATACCACAGGCCATGGTTTATTAAAAAGAAGGAGTATTTGCAATGGAAATTCCCCAATAAATCGGCCTTCAGAACACATAAAAATGTATAAAAAAAAAAACCTAGAGCAAAGAAACATGCAACAGAAAACACTTATCAGAAAATGACAGTCTTACCATGGTTGCATGTGAAGGCAAACTGTATAGAATTTCCACCAGCTCCGCAGAAAGCATCCACAATAACATCACAGCGGCACCTCTCTGCTATATTTGCAGCTATTGGCTCAGGGGTGACCGAGAACCAACTCTCTGGAAACACAATATTAAATCAATTAGAAACGAAAAGTTATGCGTATCCTTTACAGCACACTGCAGAACCAACCCCAGCAATTTTTATCTGTTGCGGTTTTTCTAGGCAAATTAAAACATTTAGTTTGTGCCATTGCTTTCTGAATGGTCAGCTCTCAGCACCACTGACTAAACCAATGCAAGACAAACCGTCCGCAGCTGGGATAGAACCTGCCACCCCGGCATTACAAAGCTTGTTCGCAAAAAAATTTAAACTTGTTCCTAAGAATTTTATAGAGCCAATCCTAAAATACTGAAGTAAATAATCCAGTCAGCAGAGTACAGAGAAATTATGTGGAAGCTAATGAGATGTGGTTTCACAAACGAATGATGAGAACATCACAGACAGATATAACGCCCAATGAAAATTCTTGCAAGAAATTTAATTCACAAATAGAACGGACAGGTATAGGCAATCCACATTATTTGGGTACACCTTGATAAGGAGAACAAACTGTCAGAGACAAGAGGGAAATTAGAGAAGATGAATGAAGACAGACAAAGGAGAAAAAGCTGGACAGTATCACAGCACACAGGGACATGTCACAACCTGATTTCATACACAATGTCAATCATTTCTGACCTACGCCAAGATGCCAGATTGTCCAGCATCTTTTCTCTTGGTCTATTTGTGCCTTTCTGGACTTCCAACTGTCTTTTCTTATGGTTGCCAGTATGTATATAAAAAGATGTATTCTCTGGTATTTACAACTAATGTTTAACTCTTTCATCACCAAGGAAAGCATCATGCTTTTGATTTATATCTAATTATCTGTTACATGATACCAAAAGAGTTTGACTTTCAACATTCTAATCACCTCTAAGTGCTAATTTACTAAAATATATATATAAAAAAAAAATTAATGAATGATTAATTAAAAAGAAATTGTGTTTGTGAGTATGTGGATTTTCAGTGAAAATAATGCCACGCTGCCACTGACCTCTATCCAGCTTGATCCCTTCGTCAAACTTTGCAAACAGACAGTACCTCTGGTACCAGTATTTGGCCAATTCTGGATCAGAAATCATCGGTTCCGGAAGAGGCACCTTCCTCCCCTTTTTCTTGCTCTTTTTCAGCTTGGTTGGACTGCTACTACTAGTCGAAGAACATTCAATGTCCGCAGGCACCAGAATACTGAGACAGGTTTGATCTCCTACAGATGTGGCATCCTCAAGTACGCCACTTTTAGTCATCGTTACTGTGTCATCAGTGCAAAGGGCATGTTCCAGCTATGAAAATGGAGAAAATAAGATATGGTTTACAAAAAAATTCCAGTGTAGATTCAAATGATCCACTGGGGGTTAAAAAAAAAAGGGGGGGGGGGTAAATCATGTGTACCTTAACAAGTATGTCACAAAAGGCATCCAATGAAGTATTTGCTGAAATTAGGTGTGCTGGGCCAAAAGGTGCAGATATCACAGCCAAGCTGAAAACCACAACACATTAGTTGTCCTTTTGAGGGAAACTGCAGTAGTTTACACAAAACATCATATATCATGTCCTAAGCTTCCTGTGTGGGTTCAAGGATCCCGATATTGGGGAGAAGGGGGGGGGGGAGGTACTTTCTAGCTGGAGTGCATCTGCCTGAGAGGCAAAAAAAACTAACAGCCCACGTAAAAATAATCCAGATGTGTAAAACAGATGTGCACACAAAGTCAAGTTCTAGAATAAGACTAAAGTCCAGACATGGGCAAACGACTAGAACTTTCTGCTGGAGTTTGCAACTGGTGAGCACTAAGAAGGTCCTATGCAGAACTCCCGATCTCAAATCATGACAGAAAGCCCCTTGTTTTTACAGGTCCACCATTTATGGTGGCCAGTCCTGGACTTATCTTCCAGGAGCCATTCCCCCCATTACTGTTCTATCCGGATCATTATCACATGGCCGCAGTGTTTTTGTTTACAACAAACAATGATGTCTACGAATCATCATCAATAGTCCCTTTTTCTAGCCAATTCTTCAGCCCTTTGTACTTTCATGTCCAATGTCTTGTATCCACCCTGGCTGAGAACTGCCTGCGTTGTTTCCCAGAAACTGTGCCCTCCATCACCCTACTCTCCAGGCCACCATAATGTTTAACTTAACGGCTTCCCCTCATATTTTCTGTGGATATATAATATGGTAGTCTCCCCCTGCTTTCCACATCCACATGACTGAGCATGTCAACCTTCAGCAATCTTTTAAACTGCCAAGGTAAGTGAGTTCCCTGCTCAGTGATGCCATCACTAACAGCAGATAGCACCACAGGTGTCAGCTTATCCCTGCGAAGATTCTGTCCTCAAGACTGCATGAGCCGCATTCCCACCGTTTACAGTAAAAGTCGATGATCCAGCCCCACCAATTTTCAGATCGTGAAGAAAGTCGGTACTATTCCTCTTTTTGGTTCAAGATACTTTAAGGAATGTTCCTGTAACATGTAATTTATTTAAAGTACTGATTTTCTTTTGTTTACAAAAACTATGTAGGATAAGCTAAATTCCTTGCAATATAAATAACAAAGAGATAATGTATTGATCAGCACTCATAGAGTTGTACAGAATCCACATGTTTGGTTCTGGCACCCCATTTTTTTTTTGGGGGGGGGGGGGGGGGGGGGGGGGGGGGGGGGGGGGGGGGGGGGGGGGGGGGGAAGAGTAGATAAACTTATTTACCAATGAACATGTTATTGGAGGTGACTTATGAGGTGTTTCCTTTAAAGTCTGCATCTGCCTAAGAGGCGAGGAACCAACAGTCTGCATGCAAAACAAGACCAAAGTTCAGAAGAGGAAGAACAACCAGATCTTTCCGATGGAGTTTACAGCTGGTGAACACTACAGCCAGTTTCTTGGTCCAAAATGCTCTACTCTTCTCAGTTCAAGATACCCTTAAGAAGTGTGCATGCAAAACTCAAGTTTCAGAACAAGATCAAAGTCCTGACAGAGCATAAGCATGGACACTCAGCCGTTTGTAGACATGCATGATTGGCTCGATTGTACAGTGAAGGCAGCTGGGGCGGTAATGGCCATATCTGAGTAATGACTGGTCTTTACAAAATATGGATCTAGCACCCATATGTGTAAAGTGGCAATAGACCCTTTACATTTAAGAATAAAAAATTAATATAACCAATGGACAGACATTTCTGTTACTTAAAACAAGTGAATGAATGAACTAACAACTGAATGAATGAATCAACAAGTGAATGCATCTAACTAAGGATATTTCTATGCTGCCACTTTAAGTCACCTGGACAAAGCTCTGGGGTACACAGCCAAGTAAACAAATCAACTAGAAAACTTCATATTCTGGGTAACCCAATCCTAAACCTAACCAGGGTAAATTCTTGGTGGAATTGTGATGGGTGCTATAATTCTAGTTTCTTTGGAAACACCATCATCATGTACCATGCCGGTAAGCATGTTCTCTCATGTTTCGCCATCTCACACGATCACCAGAATCCCGGACCAGTTGAATGTTTTTGTCTCGCCACATCCATTTTGGTCAGGCCATCCAGGTATTTATCTCTTTGCCTTCCTCTTGCTCTCTTTCCACCAATCTTGTCAGTTGTTACCTAATTCTAAGATTAAACAGGGTAACTGTGATCTGCTCAGTTAGCTTGCCATCTAGGATCTGGGTCTTTGAGTCATAGGCTAATGAAACTAGGTGGCAGCCCAAAGGGAAGAAAGTCGTGTTCTAGGCACCACATAGTGTGATGAGGTGCTTTGCATGGTCTCCACGATTACATTGTGGCAAGCAGAAAGGTCCGCGCAACAAGGGACAGCACGAGATACTTGTCCCTAGTCGAGTGAGCGAGGGAAAGCCCGAGCTAGACTCGTGGTCAGTTGATCAACAGAAGTCAGAAAAGACGGTTGTAGTATTTGAAGATGTCGTCTTTATGTCTTGCGTTTGAATTGGTCGCAAGCGATGAAAGTGAGAATAATCGTTTGAACATGTGGAAGAAATGGACCAGAATAAACTGACAGCATGTACAAAGGAGCCGGGTGGAGTTTGTGTTGTCAAGCCTAGACGTTAAAGCAGTGCAAGTTTTGTCGCAGTAAACATCCAGAGAGTGAGCTGTGGCGAAAGCCAATATGTAGTGAGCCAAGGTGCATGACGAGTAAAGCCGGTGCAAACCAAGGTTCATTCCAAGTCAAACCACGACTCATCACACATAGAGAATCAAAGAAATGTTGCAAGAAAATTTTTAATAAAATAATTAAAAGAAAAAAATGCTGCTCACCTCAATGTTTATTTCTAATGTGCTTGCCTCAGCTGAGGCATCGTGGGGATTTCCATCATCATCAAACACTATATGCTTCGCCTTCAGCACATCAGGAACTTTAGTTTTCTGACCAGGTGTGTGCACATCTAAGACTTCTGTTTCTTGCTCCAGTATCTGTATTTCGGGGAATTCCGTCTCCTGATCCTGTGAAGAATTTTTTCCAAGATCCAGGCGCAAGCGTTTGGCTTCTTTCAGAATGTTCTTCCTTTTATAGATCACCGTCCCGTGGACAATCTTCCGTTTTCTCTTCTCTCTGTAAAGTTTATTCAAAGGAAAATAAAACAGTGTTACCTATTAACTTTCCCCAATACTCAAAGACCCAGCAACACCAATGGAAACTAAATGACACATAAATGCAATCTTTTTTACCAACAATGTGTTAACAATGTCAAACCTGGGCATTAACAAAACAAGAGCGGAAAATAATAACAAATGAGATGTTTGGGGAAAGCAGTCAACATAACAAGAACAGATCATAAAAGAAATGAAGATATCATAACTGGGGGGGGGGGGGGGGGTGGGGGGGGGGGGGGGGGGGGGGGGGGGGGGGGGGGGGGGGGGGGGGGGGGGGGGGGGGGGGAAGGGAGAGAGAGAAGAGAGAACAATAACTATCATTAACTGAAATACAAAGACTGAAATGGTTTGGCCACCTGGTAAAAATGAACCCAGCATCACCTGTTACAACAACATACAACACAAGAATAAAAACATCAAGAGGCAGAGGAAAGCCAAAAAGATGGATAGATGGAGTTACCAACTTACTGAAAAACAACAATATCACAATATAGCAAGCTAACAAGCACACACTATGCCAGAAACCATTCACCAGCCTTGTCTGTTACGCCTTCCAGCATTATGCAGAGAAATACAACAGATAGATAGAAATCATGTTTTGATATTTTCATATATCTGTACACATATAAGAAACATAATGAACACACAGCAAGGGGTGTCATGCAAAATACGGAACAACAATATTAAAAGAAATGACAATCAACCTAATACATTAGAAAGAGACCACGAATAATCCTGACACATCAAATTTTGCTGGAGGGAAGAATAACACTGCAACGGGAAAAATACATATTAAATATAATTAATTTCTACTTCTTTGAGTCCATGCGTATGGGATTAGTAGTCATGTCTATTCACATTGTTCTGTCTCATGTCTTCTTTTTCTTATAGTCCATGCCATTGGGTATTGACAGTCAAGTCTCCCCAGCACCTTTAATCTTATGACTCCTCCTTATAGTCCATGCCGTACGGCATTAGTTGTCATGTCTATCCCCAGCCTTCTGTCTTCTTCTGCCTTTCTATCCCAGAATGGAGCATAGGCTCCCAACCAACTCATGCCAAGTCGTTCTATCCTTTGCTATCACATGCAGCTCTCCAGATCTTTCTAACTGCATTCTCCAGCTCCCTTTCTCCATGTGTTTTTTGGCATTCCTTTATTCCTATGCCCTGTGGCTTCCAATGCTAAGACATTATTGTTTTACTGTTCTCAGGGTTTCTCAATGTGTGTCCTATCCAATGCAAGCTTCTTTTCTTCATCTCTTGGTCCACTGCAGCTTGTTTAGTTATCTCCCAAAGCTCTACATTAGTGATTCTATCATACCATTTAATTCCCTCTATTCTGAGCAGGCACCAGTTAATGATTGTCTCATGCATTCTCAATCACTCCTGACATAGATGATCTCCCATGCCATGTCAAACTGTCTAGCATCTCTCAGGCTTCCTCTAACTTTCCCACCATCACGCCAGAAAAATGACGACTGTCTCTCTTTTATGTGGGTAATCAGAGCTTGTCATGAATTTTCCTTTAAGACAACTTCACTGCTATGATTACCATGACATCACTCATGAATTAATTCTTCTGAGAAATAATGTAGATGCAGTGCAGACCCGATAAAGGGACTCGCTCAGGAACCAAAAAAAAAAAAAAAGGTTCTTCTTAGCAGAAACTCCTCTCATCCAGATAAAGAGTTCAAGCAATAAATACTGCATTAAAAAAAAAAATTTGTTCTTCACAAGAGAAATTCGTCACATCCAAGATCACCTTTAGCGTTCTGAACTGTGTTAAAATCAGCTTACAATTCATTACATTCGCTTGCAGTTCCAGTCGAAATTATGTGATCCATCATGCAAAAAGTCGAATATTTATTCACCAGTTTACATGTTCACATCATTGGGCTCAAATAAACAAAAAATTCAAGGTCTGATATGAGGTGGCGAGTACAATCACATGTCATCACGCTAACCACACAGCACAACATTCACCAAAGAGGGGAAATTGGATTGAAAAATTAACATCAGAAGCAGAAAAACTAAGTATTAGGACAACAGTCTCCCCCAAAACAAAGATCGTCCCAAGTATGCTACCAGTTTATTTGAGGTTTTGAACAACAGATCAACATCATGGCACACGTATGTAACCCATAAGTGCTGCGCTCTTTTTCGAACTCAGGCCTGAGTCCGAAGAAGCTCAGCACAGTGCACAGGCTCTCTAGCACCGGCGAGGATCCTGATATACTTTAGGTAGATTTTTAACTCCAAATTTAGCCTGGGCAGCGGCGTTACGCTACTATTTTCAATTCCCTATGGCCAAGGGACTTTTTACGTGCGCAACAATGCACACGAGTGTCTTATCTCACTACCCAGACACCAGGGGGAGTTACTAGAAGTCTTGAGTCCACACAAAACAAACCCAACCCTTACTGGGGATTGAACCCAGAACCTCTAGCACCTGAGGCGGACACCATGCCTCAAGACCACGCAGTCCCCTACACCAGTTTATAAGAACAATGTATTACTACCAAATTATTTAGGCAATATATTATCTGTGTCATCATTATTGAAATTCAAAGAGGAAAATGCTGAATTTGTCAAACAGTTAAATTCTCTGTACCTTTTTTCTGGATCCATCTCTACAGACAGTCCCAACAGCTGTAAAGTTTCTAGAATACTCTTTTTCTTACTGGAAGCTGCAACAAAAGACAAGAAATCATGACCCTGCAATTAGATTGCCTAACAATACATGAATTCACGCATTAGTGTCGAGAGTTTGACTAGATAGAAGAGATATGGAATCTTTAACGGATAGGAGGTAGTGTTCTGAGGTTCTTCTTATAGTCCATTCCGTTTGTCCGAAACCTCCTGTTTCGTGTACATCTTACAGTGCATTCCGTGTGGCGCTGGTAGTCATGCCTATCGAAAACCTCCTGTTTCATGTACATCTTACGTCTTACAGTGCATTCTGTATGGCACTGGTAGTCATGTCTATCGAAAACCTCCTGTTTCATGTACGTCTTACAGTCCATTCCGTGTGGCACTGGTAGTCATGTCTGTCGAAAAACCTCCTGTTTCATGTATGTCTTACAGTGCATTCTGTGTGGCACTGGTAGTCATGTCTATCAAAAACCTCCTGTTTCATGTACGTCGTACAGTGCATTCCGTGTGGCACTGGTAGTCATGTCTATCAAAAACCTCCTGTTTCATGTACATCTTACGTCTTACAGTGCATTCTGTATGGCACTGGTAGTCATGTCTATCAAAAACCTCCTGTTTCGTGTACATCTTACAGTGCATTCTGTGTGGCACTGGTAGTCATGTCTATCAAAAACCTCCTGTTTCATGTACATCTTACAGTGCATTCTGTATGGCACTGGTAGTTATGTCTATCAAAAACCTGTCGCGTGTACTTTTAATCAATTTTGATACAGATTATCTTCTCTTCCAAGATGTGAAACTGATATCTTCTCCCTCTGCTCCCTTTTCCCGGTAACTTTCCCTATCGTCAGAAATGTTCTCCATTCTTCTTCTCATGACCTGACCAAAGAATGTTAATTGTCTCCGGGTGTGGGTAAGCAGTTCTCTTTGTGAAACAATGACAACAGAATATGTGTGATAAACAGGCGAGTACATGGAGGAATGTTGTAACAAACAGATAAGTTTAAAAAATAAATGACAATTATAGGACACTGATAATAAATGAAAGAAAATACACAGCTACCCTAAAAATACAGCAGCTGATATGTGATACTGTGGATTATCAAGAGTGGTAGTGATACCAAGCAGTACCCTTTTAATCTGTGAATGCTAAAAGTACCATAAACCTGTAGGAATTTTTATAAAAAAATCATGGAAAAAAACCTATATTAAACAAGTCACTAATAAATATTTGTGAAATATATTAATCTACGAGAGGAAGTCAAAAAGTACTCCCAAACAGTTGTTTTAAAAAAAAAAAAACTAAAAAAGATAACTCAAAAACCTTTTATTTTTAGACATGCAGTACCTTTGTAAAAATAATTGCCACAGACACACCTGTCCCACAGTTTTATAAATCCCCCCAATCTTCAGCATAGAACTGCATGCTCTGTTTTCTAAACCACATTTTTACTTCACATTCAACTTCTGCACCATTCGCAAAATGTCTCCCTTCAAGGTGGGTTTTCAGCGGACCAAAAAGGTGGAAAACGCTAGGGGCTAAGTCAGGGCTGTAAAGTGGATGTTCCAGAAGTTCCCACCCTAGATGGTAAAAATGTTCCTGAGTTAACCCAACCATATGTGGTCTGGTATTGTCATGAAGGAGCAGTACTCCTCTAGTCAGCAGGCCTGGACGTTTTCTTCGAACTGCATCATGAAGCATCGAGAGAACTTTACAGTATGAATCAGCTGTGCCGGATACATATTTGTCAGCACAAAATGGAAACATTTTCTTATGAATTTTCTTTGCAGGCAGCTATCCACCCTCCACACAGTAAATAACTTTTACGGTGTCTTTCACACAAAATTCACACCTGACCAAGAAAACTTGTGCAAAACACTCTTACCAAACAACTGATAGGAGATTCTCATACTGCTCAAATTACAATAAAAATAAAAATATATGATCACCAATTTGCCATAAAAACAAGTTAACACAGAATAAATCCGCAGTATGATACTAAAAATGATCAAATAAGTGGCCGCATGTCGCACTAGAGGCCCTAAAACATATGAGACTAGTTTCACGTGAAGTCAAACCATCAGTTAAATAACAACAAACAGGAAACATCTTTAACTTTCCCTGGTAAAACAAGCAGTTACTTTTGAAATTAATCTACTGTGCTGTGATGTAGAAGCTTAACGAAGTCTAGAAGACAACCACATGAGAAGAACAAACACATACACAACAGGTTATGATTTTGTCGATAAATGCTGCCACCGAAACATCCATTAGCTCCTGCGTTGTTTTCCCCCCTTCGTCAAGATTCTCAGTCAGCTTTTAGAGGACAAATATCCTGATAACAGCTTACCTGCAGTAACCTCTTTTTTTTAACCACTTACTTGTAAAATGTAGATGACACTAAATTTCAGTTGTAAAGCATTAATCTATTTACTTATTTTATTTAACTTTTACCGCAGCATGCAGCCGATGAGATAGAGCAAAATAGATAAGCAATAAATTGTGTAATGTATTGTTTGTGTCCTCTTTATTCAAATTTGAACAATGTTAAACAATATACAAAGAATTATTGCCAGACACTTAGAGTTTTCTTAACTCCTCGGGTACATAGAAAAAGCAGAATGAGTTTTTTTAATAACCAGTTAAACCGTCCTCTTGAGTTAACATGGTTGTATGTCAACCAGTATGGTTGTATGTCAATCAGACTGTCTTGGGTTTTAACCCTAATGATGGAAAATTCTGCCAGATTGGTCAGCCCAAAAGTTATCAGATTATATTCTGGGAAGTAAAGATAACAGGTCTAATACTGACCACATCAGCATCTGAATACTGACCGATCGATTTAATACAGACATCATCTACAACTGAATACTGACAAATTGATGTAATATTGACTGCATTAACAACTGAATACTGACCGATCGATCTAATACTGACCATATCAAGAACTGAATACTGACTGATCTATTCAAACAATATTTGGTCAGCACCATTAAGCTTTGCTGGCCGCAAGGTTTGGAAACAGATTCTTGAACCCAAACAGAGCATGATAAGACTTACCCGCACTCTCTATATCTTCATCCTCGCTGACATAGTTATCTTCCTCAGGCTGCTCATCCACGTAACCCTCCTCCACACCCGTACAAGGAACGATATTTTCCATCAAACCTTTGTCAAAGGAAGATAAATTCAGCTCCCTGTCTGGATTCTCTCGAAGCAATTTACCAATTTCATCTTTGACATGCCAGTATATCTGTTCTTTAATGTCAGCATGTTCTTTTTTGAGAAATGCAATGACATCCTCAGGGCTGTAGTACGTATCAGTCACACCATCTTCTTCAGGCACAGGATCAAAATCTATATATCCATTAGCTTCAACAAGACTCGAACTATCTTCCTCTGCTAAACAATTATTTGGCAATGTTACATTTGAATCACTGTCCTGACTAACCAAATCTGCATTGCCTGATGGGATTTGGCTTTCCAGATCTGTCTTTAGGTTGGTTTCCTGGCCAGTGAAAGAGTCTGTAGTGTTTAAAGATGAACAGTTAACATTAACATCCTCGCTTTCCCCATTGCTGTAGGACTTGTTATCGTTGATAGCCTCAGTTGTCCCAAAGTTTAAGTTATTTAGTACACTGTTCAAGTTAAGTGGTTTAGAATGCACAGACAAACTGTCTTCATTTGTACAGTTATCAAGCAGTTCTTTTCCTGACTCTTTGTTATCGTCACTAAGTTTAGCAGATCTGTTCTTTATGGTATTAGTATTACTTGTGTCTGAACACACACTTTCTTCTGATTCTCCATTTTGGTTTCTTTCACATATTGTGCCATTGACTGTTGAATTGTCAATACTGTATTTGTTTACGGGTCTGTCTGCATGTTCAGCTACAGTGGTGTCTTTGAACAAATTGCTATTAGCTTCAGCACTGTTGTTAACATTAAGAGTGCTGTTTGTATCCACTGTGCTGTCACCATCAATTACACTGTAGCTGTTTGCTGGCTCAGATTGGTCAGAATGGAATATATTTGTTACACTGACGTCTGCTTGGCTGTCAACCATTTCATTATACACCATTTCTGCTCCAGGTGGCACCGAACCGGCGATCTGGTCGTACCACGCAACATAGGCAGGATATTTGAGAACAAAATACTTGTAGACCAACTGCTCTTCGTTTTCTTCCCAGTACTGTGAAAACCTCCTGCGTATTTCTTTGGCAGCCATGGGTGCCTGTTGGAGATAGGTAACAGAACTGTTAGATAAAAATTCAATTATCTAGTGCCTCCGAAAGATAAACTACCAACTACCTCCTTTATTATACCACTTATGCGGTGTAGGCATGGGGATATTTGAGCCTGAAGAGATTTACAGCCGCATGGCTAGTGCTGTTGCCACGACTGTGCAGGTAAAAAAAGCCCCAGCCTCACTGAGGATTCACACCCAGCGTTAAGAAACCGTTCAGCCAGTCGCTCCTTAAAAGATGAACAAAATATTTAAATAAAACACGTGTCAATTTACAGACAATATCACTAAACTCAGTTCTGGAAGATTACATAGCAGATGAAATATTAGCCACAATAAATGTTTTACAGATCTGGCAGATTATATTATATGCAGACTGTTGGTTCCACACCTCTCAGGTAGGCGCAATCTAACTTTGAGGGGAAAACTCTTACTTAGTGGCCTTTTATGACACACTTGTTTGGAAGGCAGTGGGCAATTCTCCTCTCCTCCGCCACATTTCCAATAAAAAAAAGTTATTTTTAGGGGGGAGGGCACCAAACACACCTGGGGAATTTCTTAAAATTAATTTGTGGGTTTCAATCTTTTCTTCAAAAAGTGTCTATCACACATCAAAAATGATGTCACTGGCATTAGATGTTTCTCAGCTTGTTATCTGTCTATATTCCTTAAGTAAATAGGTTTTACATTAACATTTAACTTGTCCTCCCACATTAATTCATATATTTTGTGGATATATTTTATGTACACTGCAAAAGGCCATTTTGTCCTGACCGAGAAGCCTAAATCTGATGACTTCCGATTATGCCACGTCACTGTACATTCAGTAGTTTGCCACTGTTTTCTTAATGGTCAGTGTGATATTGCCTCCTCTGTGTCTTAACTGGTTTCTAGGAAATTGTTCTTATTGAAGACATGATTGACCCTCTAAGTAGACACAGGTGGCACGAGAAGACGATATCTCAATATTATACTTTATTACAATTTCACAAACCATTTGTCCAGTCAGTGTCCACTACCAACTAGCAAGTCCAACATTATGACACTGTTGAGACATCAACTTGGAGTATTCTCTCGTTCACACTTAGTACCTCTCAGTCCTCCTTCCTCACATTCAGAATACACGCCATGGTTGCTCGCCAGTTCTAAGCATGGTGGTTCAACTTCTTTAGCAATCGGAAACTGGTTGGATGCTACTTTGGATCAGATCGTCGTCAGGCTGTCATCTTCTCTCAGAACAGAACTCCACACGTCACCAAATACACTGTCACATTCACGCTGAATCCAGGTACACCCTTTCGCTCCGGCTGGCAAACACATTAGACATGTGTCCAATCTTTTTAACTTTGTGCTGGGTTCCACGTGGCTTCGCATGTTCATCTTACCCTGCTTGAGTACCTTGTGTTTCTACGAATATTTATGTTATCCCATTTTTCTGTCGTTTCTCTAGGTTTCCCCTTTATATTATTTTCCAGGGAATCCCCATGTGAAAAAACCAACATTACAGTCGAAACCAACGCTTGGTAGTCTGTTGCCAAATCACCCGCAGGGGGATCAAATCCAGCACCACGGAATTACAAAGCACATTTGCAACACCCAAGCCACAGACGCTGACCCATGGAATATTTTGTACAATCATGTGGGATATTAAAATCATGCCCAATATGGGACACATTTTTTTTAAAGTTTTAAAGCTGTAGTTGGGGGCCCTAATATACCCTAACGGTTGAAGGGGATTTTCTGAGACTAGTGCCTGGGTGATCCTTACCCGAATGCTGGCACTTTGTGTCACCAGGTTTTGGTAGCTTGTTGTACGGCTTTAGTGAGGTTGAACAACACAGTTTTGTGGTCTGTGAAATGCACTCACTGCTTTCAAAGGGTGAGACAAACAAATCACAAAAGCATCATCATGTGCCCTGCCAAACTGGCTAAGGGCATGCATTTCCACAGATCACGATCCTTGGTTGACTGGAACAGCTTTCTTGATGATATCCCTCCATGCCATCGTTTTAGCCCATCCAGTACTATCTCTCTTGGTCTGCCTCTACCCTTTTTCCAACTGATCTTTCCAGTTGTCATGATGTTCTCCAATGTCTCTTTTCTCATTATGTGGCCGAAGAACAGTCTTTCTCTCTCTCTCTCTTATTGTTGTATAATAAACAAAAACATAAAGACGATTAAATCATTGTTAACTTACCTTTTTCTTGTGTGTTTTCTGCTTAGCTCTGAACTTTTTGGGCAATCCCATTGCATCAAAAACTTCCTCCTCCGGCAAGTCCAATATATCTGAAGCCTGGCCTGAAATATCGCCAGCCAAACTATCAGTGCCTTCAGAAGCTAGGCTTTCTTGAAGGCCTAGGCTCTCCGAGTCCCCTAGTGCTAGGCTTTCTGTGTCTTCAATTATTTCAGCCAAAACTGCAGCACCCTCTAGATATTTCTTCAACTGTTCTTCCCTGTTTTTCTCCACTGCAGCGCCACCTGCTGCAGAGTCACATTGAGAATCCTCAGAATCCGAAGAACTTAACTCAAAGTTGCCCAATCCCAAAGTGGACAGTCGCTTGGATAATCCACAGTGATCCTGTTTTAAAGTATCGACAGCAGTGCCCTCATCCAACTCAGATGCTTGTTCAGTGGCTTCACCGTTTTCGTCATTACCATCTTCCTCAAAGTTGGAAGCGCTTGGGGACAGGATATCCTCAGAGCTACCTCTTTCGGACTCTGGATAGAAAACTTCTTGATACTTGTGTTCACTGTGAAGGCAAGAATGAGTTTATTCATACACATAGCTGGTTATTTTTTCAGCACATTCATCATTTGGGGAACTGTGTGGTGTAGCAGCTATATGCTCTCCGTTGGATCCAAAGGACATAAGTTCAAATCCGCACAGAGAATGATTTTTTTTAAAAACATGACCTTGGCATCCAGGTTGACCCAGCCGAGGGTAAAATCCTGGGAAGTAAAAGTGGCCGGCATGATGATAACCCCATCACCCAACGAGGATCGCTTGGTCTATAAAAATATGAGCCTTGCCTCATATGCCTAATGCGTCACTGGTGTGTAAAGGGACCTTAAATTTGCTCTTTTTTTAGTTCCCATTTGTAAACATAGCAAATCCGGGAAGATACACACACATACACAATTAAAACACACAGAACAAGCAATCGGACACAAAAACTGGGGAAACATGACAAGTTTAGCTTTGCCTCAGTAGTTCACTTTTGTGCTCTCGTTGACTGTGTGTGCAGACTACAGAACATGCCCTGCAAGGATGTCGCTTATACAGCGCCTTAAGAAAGGAATCCTGGCCCACTGAGTCAACATTGCATTCAAAGTTGTATGAAACTAAAAAAGAACTAAAAACAGACAAGCTTTTCACAAGGACTTTTCCATCAGTGTAAATCAGAAAGCAAACACAAGAAGAATAGGTTACTGTTAAATAAACTTTAATGCCAAAACAACCTTAACATTGCATCACCTTTTTAGACTTTATTTCTCTCAAGTATACTATAAATTCTACTGAATGTTAGCTCAGCTTACTCCTTGAATGCTATATCTGTTTCTTCTTCTCAACCGCGTTTGCTATCTGTAAACCTCAGTGGAAAGTTCTGGTTGTTCATCCACTTCTGGATTGCAGCCCCGTTCCAGAACCTGGGTGTTGCGTGCGCATCCATTTCACAGATCTATTTTATACGCAGACTGTTGGTTTCCTACCTCTCAGGCAGATCCACTCTGACTTCGGAAGAAGCTCTTAATTAGCCAGCTCTTATAAAATGCGTGTTGGGTAGGAAGCGGATCCATTCTTGTCTCCCCCCCCCCCCCCACCACCACAGAGGGGTGTCGGAACCCACAGGGGGAAACAGGTAAACAAAGACTAGGAAACACCACAAGATGTGCCTGGCTTGATGATGACTTCGCTAATCAAGTGCCGACTGGCATATACAAAATAGGTCAAGCATTATATGTGTCAATGGAGTCAGAAGGGTCCTTAACTCTACCCCTTTAAACAAAAAAATATTGATATTTATAATTCAAATTGTTTATCATATAATTAACATTCAGGTCCAGTTTTTTAAAGGTCCACAGGGTCGAACCATTAGACCAGGGCTATTCAAGTAGGTTTTCTCAGGGGCCAACATTTTGAAAACATGGATCGTCACAGGCCTAAGGACCAGTAGAAAAAAATTATTATTACTATTCAACTGGCAGTGATCCGCGGGCCACCTGCTAGGCCTCAGTGGACCCGATTTCACTTGAGGGATACTAGTTAAATAGCCCTGCCCTAGACTATTGAGCTGGCAGGAGAACATGAAAGTCACTACTTCACTGCCCTTGACTTTTGAGCTGACTGGAGAACATGAAAGTCACTACTTCACTGCCCTAGACTTTTGACCTGGCAGGAGAACATAAGGGTCACTACTTGACTGCCCTAGACTTTTGACCTGGCAGGAGAACATGAAGGTCACTACTTCACTGTGACTGTCAAGCTGCTAAAAATACAGATTATTAAAAATTATTACAAAGTTTACTAAAGGACCACAATTTTGAAAATCGAGATCGTCACGGGCCAGAGGTGTGAGCTCCAGCATAGAAAGATCATTAAAACAATCCAACCAGCAGTGATCCGCGGGTCACGTGCTAGGCCTTGGTGGGGCGCCAGTTGCACAGCCTTGCCCTATTCAGTGCAACCAGCACTAAAGCTGTTATACAGGTATGATGACCACCGCCCAAAGACTGCATGCAATCAAAAAAAACCAAAAGGCTTAGACTTTGGCATTTACGGCACCAGGGAGTTAGTATAATAATAGTTAATATGGACTACAGATTGGTCACAGACCTGCATCTCTCATATAATGGCATACGGTAAAAATAAAGTGATCTCCCCACACCCCACCAAAATACACACTACGTGACTTCTGAGTGGTAGTTCCGGAGTCTGTCACCTTGCCACAAGGTTACGGGGGTGTTTCATGATGCCACTGACATTGAATGTTGTATATTTCAGCACCCCAGAGATTTTAACGCTTAAAAACATGGATTAACTGGCCCTTACACATCCCCCCTAAAGAGTGCTGCAACCTATGTTACAGGCATTCTCTTTCTCGGAATGAAAACGTAAATGCGAGTTACCACAGAAAACAAACAATAAAGCAGGACACCTTCAGAAAAGTCGACCAGCCCAACAAACTTGTCAATGTAAAGTGACCTACTTGGGGAGATTTATGTGAACCTAGCCGTATCATACTGTTAGATTCTTTATTCTAGCTGATAAAATCTAGCAAAAAGAATATCAATTACAAAGCAAAAACCAGCAGATACTTAGCATAAGCAAGGGAAAGACAGCACAGCACTTGATGATGCTGACAGAGTTAATTACTATACAATAGGACTCAGTGATATCGCTCATTAAGTATAGACCTTTTATCTCTAATGCACCTTATTCCTGCCAACTGTTACTAGCGTTATTACCCATAAATATCAGGATAGAAAGTTTTAATGAAGAAAAAGGAAAAATAAAACATATTCAAAAAAAAAAATAAAGATGTTCTGCAGAGGCAGCAAAATATTTGACAATGAGAGGTACTACTTTACTCAGTGATATCACTCTTCTTCTTCAGCATTCAGAGCCCTTGAGGTTCATTGCTGCAGATATCACTGGTTATGTATAAACCTTTATTTCTAATGTACCTGACTCTTGCCAACTGTTACAACCTTTATTCTAGATGTTAAATATCAGGACAGAAAATGTTAAAAGACAAGAACAGATGTTCAACATAAGATTCAGATGTTCTGTAGATACAGCGTAGCACGTTATGATGATGAGTTACTATCTGACACCAGTGTTATCACTGGTCATGTATAGAGTAGACATTCATCTCTCCCACTTTTTATTGTTAAATGTCAAATCTCTTATTAGTGAATAACGGGGATTATCACAGCACAGACCAACGGGTGCTCCAATCTCCTGAAAAGCTCCACAAGCATAAAACACCTGATGATGCCAGTTGTGTGTTGATGACACACCGCTGGAGCAAGAGAGGAGGCTCGCAGCTCAAACACAGTCTCTGTAGCGACAACAAGAATCCTGCAACAACATTTTCTAAATTCCTTAGTCTAGCTATTAAGTGGCAGCAGCAGCGGTGCAGTGTCTGGATTCTCACCTGCCACCGAAAACTCTTGGGTTCAAGTTCCCAGGTCAACTACTGAGAAGCAAAGGCGGCCAATGTGATAGCTACATTACTGAATGGTCTGAGTTAGGCATCATACAGCTTTTATGCCACTGTCACAAAAAGGATGAGAAGAGCTCGCTACAAGACAAGAGGTTGACCAGGAAAGAGAAGAGACATAAAAGAAACACTGCAGAAATACAATATGATGTCAACACAAGCTACGCAGCTAGCAGAAGACAGAAAACTACACTTAACTCCCCTCTGCCCCCCTATCAGGGTTATGTGAAGCAATGGAAGCAGGTGGTGGAAGGAGTGTGAGAGCAGCCGACAGTTTGTTGTTGGTTATAGTCATGCACTCTGTTGTGACTGGAGGATGATCTCATCAAGAAAGAGAATAGCTATAGCCAAAGTTCAGTCACAGTCACTCAGCCCAGAAGGAAAGCAATGGCAAACTACCTTCTGCAAAACTGGCCAAGAAACCATAACAGCCATAGAAGAAAACATAATAAAGCTTTCCATCACACGTAGTACACCTCGTAACAATACTCTATTTAGACCAACAAGCAGCGGTTAGAATAGATAGCGAGACATCACAATGGTCTGACATCAAGAAAAGTATTCCTATCACCCTGTTTGTTTAACCTGTACACCGAAAACAAAATGAAAAATGTCAGAGATGATATAACCAGAGAGCAATATGATACCCTAAATATTGGTGGTCATGAAATACTAGAGATCTGATATGTCGAAGATACAGTATTGCTCTCCACATCACAGACTGGTATAGAAAACTTAATAACCTAAACACAAAGAAATAGTGAAAACAAAGATAATGCATACAGGTAAAACTACTATAGAGAAAGAAATATATGTTAATGAAGAAAGATTGCAGGTTGTGGAAAATTTTTGAATATCTTGGGTCATTGATTACTAACAATGTGGAAACAATGAAAGAAAACGACGACTATCAATTGCTCTTTAATGACTAAAACAACAGAATAAATTATGGAAGCAGGACAGACAGAGCTACAAAAATTAGATTTCTAAGAGCATGCGTCTTTCCCATGCAACATACGCCTGTAAGACTTGGACACTTACTAAACAAGCTGAACAGCGCATAAATACCTTTGAGTACGAATGTTATAGACGGGTTCTAAGAATATCATGGGTAAAGAAAGAACAAATGCATCCATACTTAAAGAACTGAATATTAGAGAACATGGGCTACTAACACTTTGCTGACCAGCAATCCGGGGCATTACCGTCTCCCATTACCAAGGGCGTTTTGATATTTTTTCCAAAATGACTGGTTTTCTAATAAAATTCATTAAAAATTCAAAAACTAGCGTAGGGTTTTGAAACCTTCAGAGCATCATTATGGATGGTTGCTACACACGAAAAAAAGATGTATTATGCAAATATGTCACGTGATCATGGCGACCATCTTGAATTTGTTTGGCTATTTATAGAAATTTCAGGAGATGTTCATCATCTTTTTTGCAGTTCTTAGTGAGTTTGTTCAATATCATCAGCATGTAGCAGGTCCTTTGCAGAACGTCGCTCTCATCACAGTCTGCCTGAAAGAAACTCGGTCTCTCGCCAGTTATCCCGCCTCATGTACTTTCACACTCAAGGAGTCACTTATATCCTGTGCCCATCTTTGTGGCGGTCAGCCCCTGCCCCTCCTCCCTGGTACCATGCCTTCTGATATAATTTGTCCAATCCGCCGTGGCGCTTGATATGACCAAAATCTTTCAGCTTTCGAGAAAGGATGCTGTTTATTTGCCAATCTTCCTTGATGTTCAGATCTCTTTAGATGTCAATATTTCTCATCTTCTTTGTCCAAGATATTCTGAGAATCTTTCTATAGCATTTCAGCTCAAAAACCCCTATTGTCTTTCTGAGAGACTGAGAGATAGTCCACGACTCACATCCGTATGTAGCCACAGGGAAGATGCATGCTCTCTAAATTCTAATTTTTATCTCCTTGCTTGTGCTTAACCATAGACTTTTAAGGCTGTTCAATCTTTGCATTGCTATGGCCATCCTACTTTTAATTCTCCATTGTTGTTTATTATAGAGCCTAGATATTCAAAGTTTGTGACATTTTCAATTTCTTCATCATTTATTGTTATTTTTGGGTGACAGCCAGTTTTATCTGAGGACATTATTTTTGTTTTCTTGAAATTCAAGAACAGATTTTGATCTATAACATCAATGTTCAATATCAGTGCAATAAATTGTTGGGGATATGGTTGATGATGAATAAAATCTGCTAAAAAGGTGCATTTTAAACGAGTGACCAAATATTTCAACATAAAAAGTGAATAAAGTGAAATTTTTTCATTTATTGTGTTTATTTGCCATGTTAGATTGAGCATTTGAGAATGCTTGATTATAAAAACACCTCTAGTTGAAGTCTGAGCTACTTTCTTTATTAACTGTAAGTTGAAGTTGTAGCAGTGGCCCTCTGTCTTTATCACAAATGCTGATAATCCTCAACAATATGGTATAGATTGAACATAGGGGTGTCAAGCCTACAGGTGTATTGCAATCTGGGCAGTATATGCAAGTCTAGCTTCTTTTACCTGCAGCCTTACAAACTTTACAGTCTGGTTTGTACCTTGGCTTTCATATCTAAAGTAAACACGGCGTTCAGTAAGTCCTTGTGCTGTTACATGTGGTCTTGAAGGTGTTAGTTACACTGTGCCGAAGAACAGCAGGTCTAATAAAAGCAAGATTGACATCCTGTCTGAACCTCTTTGCTGTGACCATATACACAGAGTTGGCAGTGTTGTAGTTTATATGCTCATTGACCAGAGCAGTGTCAACTAAAAATAAATAACAAATTAATGGCAGGTCCCAATTAAAGGATCTAGGTTTGCAACCAGCTGGCTGAAGTGATTGACACCCCCTATACTGTTGTATTTTTCTGCAAGAACTGGCTTATTTATTATTCTGCCCTCAGTATTCCACTTTTCCCTCAGTGTCTTGTCTATAACACCACTGAAGTAAACAGTAGATATCTGGTGAACTCCCTTAGTGTCATGACAATTAATGGCCAACATGCCATTATATTTTGTCACACAAAACAGGATGATCTGCCTTTTTCAGTTTCAATTAGTTTTTCTTTACAAAATCGGCGCACATTCAGCTGTGTCTGACACGCACCTTGTTGTTCTTTGTATGGGGAAGATTGTCAAGCTTAACAGGTTAATTTTGAGCAGCCCTTCTGCATTTACGAACAGCATTTTCAGCTGTAGAAATGTTCTGGTCTCTTGTGCCGCGCCCACTTCTTTCTTCAGATGTACTTACATCAACTCCGTCGTCAAGTCTATCATCGTTGTTGCTATTTTCAGTTGCGATATGACGATAACATTCACAGGTGAATCTCTACTTATCCAGGAATTATTGTTTTCAGCGCTGGCAGATTCATAATAATCAATACAACTGGCCTAGTTTTTGTCATCAGACATGATAAAAAAGGCTGAATATGTGTTGGTAACAAAATTTCACTGAAAACAACGCTTGTATTGGCTCAAATCGGTATTAATCCTGGGCACTGACATCTTGGAATAATAAAAACACCCTGATGCATTTTAATTAAAAAACTATTGGTAGGGACATCGGCCGGCAGACTACATGTCGTGAATTCGACGATCGTCGGAGCTAGTCACTAGGAGATATGGCCGGAAATTCGAAGATTGTTGAAGTTGGTCAGCAAAGTGTTAAAGAGATAAAACACAGAAAATTGAAATATTGCAGTCACTAGAAACGTTATGAAAGTTTAGAGAGAACAATAATGAAGGGGTATATGCCTGGAAGGCTTAATGCTAACCACATCACCCACAGAGTGCTGATGGTCTGTAAAAATATGGGACGCTCTGCCCATATGCCCGATGCGCCGAAAGGCGTGAAAAGGGAACTTTACTTTTTTTTTTAAATATATATGCCTGGAAAGAGAGGAAGAGGAAGGTCAAAGAGAAGATGGGTGCAGGATGTGGCGGATGATCTCCAGATGGGTGTATCAGACATGGGACATCTTTGTGATCGAGAAGTTTTCCAGAGGGTTCTTATGGGAGCAAGGTTTCTGCAAAAGGGCATGCTACTGACTGACTGCAATGCTATTCAACTAGGTTCACTCCAGGTTGTACTTCTGGGCCAAACTTTTGAAAATGAGGATCATCACAGGCCAGAGGCTCAAGCCCGAACATGAAAAGATCATAAATATAATACAACTGGCAATGATCTGTGGGCAACATATTAGGCCTCCGCAGGCCACATTTGACCAGCTGAATAGCCCTGATTCACTGCGTAAGTAGCAGGACAAAAAAAAAAAAAAGAAGTTGAAAAGGGTCCTTCATTTTCACTTACTACTTGTTAAATAGCAGGATTGAAAAAAAAAGTTTTGAAAACCCAGAACAATGTTCAACACACAACATAGAAGTACAGAAGAGCACAGTGCTTGATGATGGTGATGATGACACAGTGAGTAACTACCTGATAAGACTCCGAGTTAGATAAACAGTAACAGGTTCAACTGGTGCGTCTTCCCTTTCCGATAAACAGGTGAACAGTCGAAATTCTGCAAGGACATGCCTCTTTGACCACATCTGAAATAAATAATAATAGTTTTATCTTTCACTCAGAGATGATCAACAAGATAAGCACAAAACCCAAAACAACATTCACTCAAAAGTCTTCTCCAAGTTGAGCAGGCAGAATTATATAATAGTAAGCAGAAGACATCTAGTTCCCAACACAGACAGGATACAGAATCATGGAGAAACAATTAGTCTGCATAAGACAAGACAGTGAGAATGCCTTTCAAGAAGAAAAAGGCAAGCTGCTGCTCTTTTATTTAACCTTCCAAATTTTGAGTGGAAAAAATTAGAACACCTGATGCTAAAAACCTAAAGGGTTATAAAATCTATTTCTGGATCAGGGACTTCCAGAACCAATGATCCATGTTTCCCTACACCACTCACCTGACTGAAAACTGTACCTTCAAGGCATGACAATAGCCAGTACCAGCCAACTTACACTGGATCACAAATTATTACTCCCCATGACACTTAATGTTAATGGCATAAGTGGTTCATGATATGGTGTGGGAGAATCAGTAGTAGCTCTCGAGTCAAGTGACTAGCGGCAGCAAGCATAGCAAGGCTCAAACATTCCGACCATAATCCCGTTAAAGTAAATAAAGGAAAGGAGTGTTTTTAAATTTAAAAATATCACTTTTTGAATTTTGCTTTAAGTAAAGGTAAGAGGTGATGAATGTGGGACCCGAGTTCCTTAACTCCAGGAAAACAACAATTACATTAATTACAATGAAATTATTGATACAATCACTACATGGAGAGACCGTATTTCTATTCAGTATAATATTTGAGTTTTCAGTTTGATAGTTAAGTGAAAGCCGGCTCTCTAGCGTAGTTTGCTAAACCAGGATTGTGCGGTGACCGGGTGACAAACTCCTTGTGGTCCGGGTTCACTCTCTGGAGTAGGCAGAAAAGTTACATTTCTCCCAGATTTAAGGTATTTACAATGGAATCAAGGCCGAAATGTTGCGATATCCATAATACCGAGCCTAAGGGTTAACAACTCATGGCTTCTGGATACCATAAAACAAACATAGTTATCATAGATAGTAGTTAAATGAATCATTCACACAAATTATAAAACAAAAGTACTTAAATAATTAGTGTATTACATACAAGTTCACTTCAGGGAAACAACAATTATATTATTTACAAAGAAATTATTGATACAATCACTACATGGAGAGGCCGTATTTCTATTTAGTATAATTTTATTAGCGACTAGGGTGTTCGGCAATTGGCGGTCTTTTGGCAATTTCCGTTACCATGGAAACCGTTCGAAACTTGCTTCGCAGATGTCGGCTGGGGTTTCAGGATGGGTCCTAATCTCTCATGAAATTTTGCGGTTGGTGTGATTTTTTTCACCCACTATAAAAAGCTGAAAACAGCGGGAAGGAACCCGATTACCAGCGCATGTCTACGACAGCCTGACATCCTGTTTTCTGTTACATCAGTTTGATTGAAAATAGCGATAAAGTATTCAGGGTTGGCTTTAGGCTTTAACTGTTACTGTACCTGGTAATGCTAGTTATAATTGAATTCTCCGTCCAATTTTACATTTGTGTATAAAATTTCTTTCTGGTACCGTACGTGGCTAGGTAGATGTACAGTGACATTTTTCAGGCAATCGCTGGCTCAGCCAGTCTCATTGTCTGCCATCTTGTCCAATGCAAACAAAGCCAAAACGAAAGTTGCGCAGTTTGGTTGCGCAGAGAAAACTTCTTGTTTCTGACTGGGAGACAACAGACAAGTTTTAGCAGCTGTTTTTTACATCTCATCTCCACACAAAAAACCTACATATCTCAGCTCAGAAATGACATACAAGCCTAAATGAGGTACCGTTGGAAAGAGATTGTTTACAGCTATCTAACTGTGCTGGTTTTATTGGTGTAGAGGGCATTTTAAAAATTTGACTAAAGTACCTAAATTTTATAATATTTGAGTTTTCAGTTTAATAGTTCATAGTCATAGTGAAGTTGTTGAAATTGAATCACTGACAGATTACTGAATCACCAGGACAAGCAAGCTGCCACCAATTATAAGTGAAAAAAAACAATTACCACTCATTTATTCAACATGACATAACAACTTACTGACCTTAAGCTGATAGTACTGATACTAAAAGACGTGAGTGTTGGGGGGTCGAGCCCAATGTTTACAAGAAAACCGAGTCACTAGACGTACGAGTTGATCATACAACCAGACACCGGCTTCCAAACAAAGAACGGAAATGGTGGCCTGGGCTATACCAGGTGCTAGTCGCGTGTTTAGGTAGATCGCTTTCGTGTAGCTGTTAAGCCACACTGTTTAGCATAAAGTAGACAGAAAAATCTTAAATTATATGTTTTCTTTACAGAATTAATTACGATAAACAAAGAAATGAAATAATATCATGGTAACTAGATTTTATCAACAGAACGACGAGGAGAAATACAACAACACAAAAATGAATTGACTCTAAAATTAACTACTTATTTTGGTATTCAAATATTACGCAAAGTGAATGAATCAAGAATTGAAATCACTGCACTCGGTACATTCCCACACTGCTCCGTCCCCTTCTTCAGTACCCAACAAAGATTTGACATGATAATAGTATAAGTTGCAACCTGATTAAAAGTCCGCCTCTGTGTTCCCTTCAATGCTGAATATCTTCCAGAACATCTACACAGCCCCCTGTTGAATTAGGCTATCTGTTATTTTGCAGTTCCTTTGATCCCATAGAGCCTGCGCGACACCCGCTTTATCACAAAGAAGCTCACCACCCAGATGTGCGGTAGCAGCTAATCTATCATCATGCTCGTTACCTCGCACACATGAATCTTCTTGACAGAAAGACCAAGATATCCTCATGATTTCAGTCTTTTATCAAGCCATGCAAGTCACTCTGCACGTAGGACGCCAGTTTACATTTTTTTGAAGCCTGCTATGTGAGTTCGTTACAATTGAGCATGTCGGGCTGTACTGCTCTCAAGCCATCACTGGAGAGGGGAAAAAAGACATAGAAACAAAATAAATATAATAATAAAAATTATCATGTAGCAGGTCCTTTGCATAACGTCGCTGTCATCGCTGTCTACCTGAAGAAATAGTGTCTCACTCCAGCTCCCCCGCCTCGTGCAATTTCATATCAAACGAGTCATTTATATCCTGCACCCATCGTCGTTTTGGTCGACCCCTGCCTCTCCTTCCTGGTACCAATGCCTCTTCGGCAAGAAACAACCTTCTGCGCACAAATAAGTCAGTAAAATGGACGTATACACAAAACTCGCCCGCCTCTCTAGCGGAATTGGCTAAACCGGATTTCGCGGAGACCGGGTGACGTACTCCTTGTGGTCCGGGTTCTTCTTCTTCTTCTTCTTCTTCTTGTTCACCGGCTGTGAATTCCGGCGGTAAGTCACGGTTGTTCGTCCAAAATGGACTTTTGGCTTTTACCTTGACCCTGAGTTTTGCGTGTACATCCGTTTTACTGGCTAATTTGTTTGCAGTACTCGTCCCCGCCTCTCCGGCAGATGTACTCCGACTTCGGAGGAAGACGTCAAGCCTATTTCTAGGTTGACTGTGGCCATTTGTTTTGTGTGGGTCGAGATGTTGCCTTATTTGTGTGGTGTCCTCTTTGACTTTTAAAGAGGTGTGGCCCCAGGCATGTCGTCCTTAAGGCAGCTCTATGTAGAGTTTTCAGCCCTCAAAAAGGCAGGGGCAGATCATGGGCATTCCCCGCCATCCAAGGAGGCTTCCATAAATGCAGAGCCGACACATGATGCTCTGGTTCTGGGCTCACCCAAGGAATCGTCACGTCCTGCCCATGATGCTTAACCTCACAACCGTGTATTGAGCTTCCCGCGCTACAAGGCTGGCGCTCTCCGGAGATCAGCGGGGAGCAGACCGCAGGTCTAGGACGTTTGTGGCCACACAAATAGGTACATTCTTTTTCATCTTACGTTAGACACCTTTAACGTTGTTTCAGCTGTGCCCTTAGCACGACAGAATGGGGAAGCAAAATGCGTCAGGCGTGCTTCACCTGTTTGGTCCCAACACTCGGGCGAGTTGGACCAGTGGATACGGACATTCAGACTTTTCCTAATCGGTACGAGTTATGATCGTCGGACTTTGAGCTTGCATGTGTGCCGTGGGGTGTAACTTTGTCGGACATTGTTTTCAAGCCAGCATATGAATGGTTGCTGCCATGGTGTACCTCAGCGCGGTGACGACGACACTGAGGATTGACAGAGGATGTACGTAGGTGGGATCTTGCTGCGAGAAGTCGCCCACAAGAGATGTTACTCGTCTTGGCTGCAAGTAAATCTCTCGGTCAGGGTTGAGTCTCAGCAGCACAGTTTTCCATTCGCTCCCGAATTTTAACCAAGAGTTGTCATTTGATGGTACATTTAGCAAGCAGTCCTTGAGTTTTGTTACTTTTTCACCCATGCGTTTGGGGGCGGGCTGGTGAGAGCCAGAAAGGACTCTACACCTCTAGGGGCCGCCAGCTCCGAGATCCCCTGCCAACTCTGTTAAACATTTGAGACATTATCCGTGCGCACGACGGGGACGTGCAACAGGAGTCTTGCATGAGGTCCTTAAAACCAACAAAGGACTGGCGCCCGAGTGGGGTACGGAATATCTCCTTATACACATCACATCAGACTTAACTTCCCCTCATGCCTGTGACCGAAATCACCAGCGCCACTGGTCCACAATCCCGGGGGTAGGCAGGAAAGCCACATTTTCTCCCAGATTGACGGTATTTTGCAATGGAATCGCCCGATATCCATAATACCGAGCCTAAGGGTTAACAACTCATGGCTTCTGGATACTAAAACAAACAACATACACACTCAGGCCCTGGCACAAAGACGGAGTCCAAAAGGCCGAACATCTATGACTTTCCACAGGAACTTAAAGCCGGTGAACAAAAAAGAAGAAGAAAATAAATGGAACTCTAGTTCAACATTTCATCAGTGTTAAAGGTGAGACATTAAAGTCAGCTAAGGATTTTAAATACTAAGAAG